ACTGGGGTAACCCCTGTGCCACCAGGGAGGCCCCTGAGTGATGAGCAAAGGGCGTTTGAGACCCAGAGCCCAGGGTCTCAGCCAGGGGCCCTCATCTTGCTCACAGGGCCCAGGGGCCTTGGGGGGGCCCTGTCCTGTCTTTGGGCTCCCTCTCTCCCCTGCCTCCTGCTAACCCGCACCGTCTCCTGTCTGGACCTCTCCCCTCCCCGTGCCCCGCAGCCTTTCCTGTGTGGGTGGGGGGTCCTCTCAGAGTTCCTCTCCCCCTGTACGGATCCAGGCCGCTGGCCAGCCGCGTCCCCCCGCCCCCAGGCAGCCCCCTGGAGAAGTACAGGATTTCTCCCTAACTGCTGTGAGCCTGCCAGGGAGGAAGGACCGGCTGTGTTTAGGCCTGGGCAACCGTGCAAGAGGCTGGGGGTCAGTGGGAGGAGCCCAAGCGCCCAGCTCCCCGCCCCTCTTCCTTCAGGTCACCATCCTGGAGGCCGACAACAGGATCGGGGGCCGTATCCTGACCTTCCGGGACGGGAAGACGGGCTGGATCGGGGAGCTGGGAGCCATGCGCATGCCCAGCTCGCACCGGTGAGCACCCCCACACTAGCCCCCCACCCTAAGTCGGGCTGTCTGGAGTGCGAGCGCCCCCTCCAGGTCCACCTGCAGCCCTGTCACGTCACCCCCAACTCTGCCCCGCTTCCCTCTTCACCCCCAGTGTTAGACACCCGGGTGTCCCTCGGGCAGGCGGCACCCCCAGCCTTCCAGCTGCTGCCTCCCCTCCTGCCCCCCACACCCACAGCCCCCCGCCCCCCGCCCGCAGGATCCTGCACGAACTCTGCAGGAGCCTGGGCCTCAACCTGACCAAGTTCGCCCAGTACGACGAGAACACCTGGATCGAGGTGAACGAGGTGAAGCTGCGCAACTATGTGGTGGAGAAGATGCCCGAGAAGCTGGGCTACAGGCTGCTGCCCCGCGAGAGGGGCCACTCGCCGGAGGGCATCTACCAGATGGCGCTCAACAGGGTGCGTGCCCGCAGGCCCCTTCCTTCCCGCCCTGCTTCAAGGGCTCTTCTGTATTTTCCCTTTTCTGTACAGGCCAGAGGTGAAGGGGTGATGAGAGGACTCCCCAGAGAGAGCGGGGAGCAGAACAGGCAGCTGCACTGAAACCCACTGCTGAGGGAGCAGCGGGGAGACAGGAGGGGTTTGCTGCGCCCTGGGGTCACGTCCTGGCCGGGCTCCAACGAGCTGCAGCGGCTGCAGGCAGCTCTGTAGGCTGAGGCTGCACCCCTGCGCCACCAGGGAGGCCCAGGGACGCCCCTTCTGTCTTTTGAGTTTCCATTTCCCTTCGTTCTGCTTTTCTTTCCCCCTACATCTTCAGTGTCCCCATAAACACTGCCAATCCCCAAGTGCCGGAGGCCTTGGTCTCTGCCCCCTCTCACCCCCACCCTGTCCGGACAACCTCACCTTTCCACATCTTTGCTTTCGCCTGGGGTCAGCAGGCTGGTCTAGCGCCATCTCCGACGCCAGACCTGTGTCCGTCTCCCCTGGTCCTCCCTGACCCTCCAGTTAGGCCCCTGGGCTTCCCCTACACCCACTCTGCACCCAGGCCCCCCAGCCCTGATCCTCACAGCACCCCCTCCCCCCCAATCCACAACCCAGCCTGGCCCCAGCTGCCCAGCCTCGAGGCCTCCCCCCTCAGGTGCTGCAGGCGTTTTCCTTCGCCCGAAGCTGAGCCTACCATGCTCCCCCCTCACATCCCCCCGAGACTCCCCAGTACCTCAGGCTCAGGCGAAAGCCCGAAGCCAGCTCTCCCACCCGCTAGCCTCATCTCAGCTCTGGGAGGTTCTTTCCGCCCTCTGCGGTGACGTGGACACCACCTGTCCTTCACCGAGGCCCAGTCATCTTCCCACACGGCCCTCTCCCTGCTGCGTGGAGGGGGCTCTGCTTTCCCTCTGAAACTGGCTCTGATTCCCCTCCTCCAGGAAGCCTTCCCTGATGCCCTCAGGGAGCTCCTAACTTGTCTGACATCTCCACCCCGAGAACAGAATGGCAAGTGTGTCAGTGAGTGTGAGGGGGTGTCCTGTGAGTTGTCCCTTGGCGAAGGGTGACAGGACATG